CCTCAGGCAGTCTTACTCCACCGCCTTCTTGAGGACCACATGCTCTTATGGATGCGCAGACAGTGGAGATGGAAACACTTTGATTTTAACTGCATCTGTGCCCCTGCCCAGGAGCACTGGAGGCTGGGCCTCTGGCAAGCCTTTGCCCATATGCCAGCCTGAATGGGGGTGTCTGGGATGCTTGTCCTCATCAGCCACATCTTCCTCCTGCTTCTCCCCTATCAGCCACCCCTGGCTCCCCGCCCCAGCCCTTCTGCCCCTCTGCTGGCGCCCAGCAGGTGAGACAATGCAGACCAAGGGGCCAGTAAGGAGACTGTCTTCAGCAGCCGCGAGCTGGGGAACAGAGCGGATATTGATTTGGTATATGGGAGCGAAGGGACCTGTTAAACGTGCAGCTGTTAAATTGCTCTGCCCAGAGCCAGCCAGCTCTGCGGGCGGGCGGGTGGCCTGGCTGGCAGGCAGGCAGTGGTCAGACCAGCCAGCTGCTAGTGCCCTGTTGGGGGTGGTCTTGGACATCTGGCAGAACCTGAGGCAGCCTGGCTTGGACCCTTGCTGCCCTGGTGCCCATAGGCCCCTGTGCTCCAGCCATATCCACCTCCTGGCATCCTCTGTGCATACCCTGCAGCCATGGCTGTTCTCACACAGACCCCTCCCCATCACCTCCTTCTCCATCTCTTAAAAACCTACCCCACTTTCCAGAACCAGTGCAAATGGTACTCCTCCATGAAGTCTTCCCGATTTCCCACTCCCTACTCCCAATACCCAGAGAGGAGCAGGCTTTCCTCTCCAAATCCCCAAAGCCCCAGGGCTCTGCCTGTCTTCGGCCTCCGGTCCCCTCTGCTATAATAACTAAGAGTTGTGGGTCCACTGAAAAGAACACCTGAGCTTCATGTGCCCCTCTCCCAACACACACACAGGCAGGGCCTGGGCGGCCAGGCACACAGGTGATGCTGAGCAGCTCACATGGGGAGGACAGGGCGGGTATGTGCTGGCTGAGCCACGGCCTGATCCTGATGGGCGCCCCTTCCCGGTACCTGCGCCTGGACTGCACTTCCCAGGCCCTGCAACAGATACTAGGAGCTGCTCAGTGTTGAATTGTTCCCTGTTCCTCTCTTGCAAGGCCCTCCAATGATCCCCAGTCAAAAATCCCACTCAGTCAGAGGCCACCTTCATCCCTGGGATGCCCATTGTGGAGGCTGAGACCAAGCCCAACCGTTGCAGCCACGCAGCCCAAATCTGAGGTTCTCTGAGCCTCAGTTTCCTCATCAATAAAACATATTGGGTCATATCTCTTACAATGGTAAGGAATATGAATTGGACAAGACAACTGCTGAAGAGGCCCAGAGAGGGTCAGTGGTTGCCTGGAGTCACACAGCAAGAAGGTAGAAAAGATGCACTTTTTCTACCTAGGTAGAAAAAGGTAGCACTCCTACCTCCTAGCCCCAAACTCCCCTTACCCCGTCCAGCCTCCTGGGTCTGGGTTCTGGGCTGAACAGCCTGCATTGTGCTGGGGCCTGGTCTGTGTAACCTGGTGGCTGGTCTCTGCAACCTCAGGAACCACAGACTAGCAGCTTGCTCAGAGCTGGGCCTGGGCCCCTGGTTGTTCCTCTGGCCCGGCCAGGCGTCCTCACGGGGTCTTATCTGTACACCCTCTCCTTTCCCACCAAACTAATCTCTCCTTCTTTTCAGGAGTTCCTGTTTCCGCTCTGCCGCCTTCTTGTCTCCCTCCTCAAGCCCGTCTCTCCTGTGTCTCCAGCCAGCCTCCCACACTTGGTTCCGAGCCGCCTCGGAGTGGCTGGTGCTGTCATCACTGGGGAGTCTCCATCTTTCGGGGGCTCTCCAAGCCTCACAGAGCCCTGTCTGGGACGGCTGCCCCTTACACAGGAGGGAGATGGAACAGGGCCTGGGAAGGGAAGCCTGCTGGGGACAAGAATCCTGACACCCTCAGATCAGTACGCAGCCGTCCAATTCTTCGGGTTGGGCATTGGCCTAGGGGTTTCTACAGGGCTTGCAAGGCAGTGGTTTAGGGCTCCTATTCTACAATTCCTGGGTACCAAGATTTGACAGTTCTAAATCTCTGAATACGATGAGATCCTGAGCTACCAGAGCTCTGTGGTCCTGGGAGCCTCCAGGCCCCTGTGATGCACCTGGCGGAGGCCCGAGCCTCCATCTCCCCAGAGCGGGGCTGAAGCTGGTTGCATTCTCAGAGCCCTGACCTGGGGGCAAGGGGCAGCACCGGGACCAGCTCCCACTGCCCCTTGGTTGTCCAGCTCCTGGCCTGCCAGAAAGATTCAGGGCTTTGTCACAGAGGTGGGGACTGGCCACTGGCCCGTTGAGTCAGAGACCCCCAGAGTCTCCTGTCCTGAGCTTGAGGGCTCCCCTCCCAGCCCTCCTCAGCTCTCCACGGATCTCCTCTGCACCTGCTGGGAGTGCGGACGCATGAGCAGGGACGCACCTGCGCTCAGAGCCTTGCTGTGCTGGGAGCTTTCCTGGGGGCTGGAGCGAGCGCCTTTCCTTACAGAGCCTCAGTTTCCTCCTGCGTCAATGGTAACAATACTTACTTCAGAGGGCTGCTGTGGTGACTTGGGCCAATGTTTTTAGAAAGTCACACAGCAGGTGCACAATAAATGGTAGCACTTAGCTCATGTGGCCACCCTCTCTGAGAGCCATTCTGGGTCCCTGGTCTGGTTTCCCCATTTACTTGTCCTGACAGAGGTCCAAAGAATACTCCCAAACCCAACATTTCAGAGGTATGTTTTATAACCAGACCTGTTGTGCTGCCCCCCAGATCCCAGGGCCCATGGGTGCATAGAGCTGGTCCCAGTTCATGAAAAGCCCACAGACATGTGGGGGAGACGGATGATATGACACAACACAGGCCTCTACAACACCTTGGCTCGGAGAAGAACTAGAGGGAGCACAGAGGCTGTGGGAACCCAGTGGAGGCCCCTGGTCCAGGCTGAGGATAGTTGGGGAGGGCTTCCTGGAGGAGGCAGCCACTTATCTGGCTTTTGCAGAAGAGACCATTGGCTGGCAGCTTGAGAAGGAGGGTGATGGCTGCTTTAAATGTTCAAAGGGTTGTGGGCAGCCCAAAGAGGGGGAGATCCTTTCCACCCAGAGCACTGGGGAAGGTTTTGTGGAGAAGGCTGTGAAGGTTGTGTGAGATTCCAGCAGGGAAAACAGCACTCCCGGCCAGGGAAGATCAACAGATGCCCAGAGGCCAGGCGGGCTGAGCAGCTGGGAGTTGCAGGAAATGCTGTTATAAGAATCGCTTGTGCCTATGGGGATGGGTCTTGTGTTCTAGGCAAGGAACCAGGGATTGGTTTTGTGGACTGAGGGGTTTGCCGAGAGCTGTGAAGCAGGGGAGCCCTGGGCCTGGAGAGTGCACATTCCAGGGACTCCTTCCAGGGAGGCTGGGGGTTTTCACCAGAGAGGCTGGCAGGGGCCCCACCCGGGGAGGCTCCAGCTCCCCCAGCCCATTATCAGCTCTGCGACCACAGGAAGGCCCTTCCCATCTCTGAATTTCCTCATCTGCAAAACACACCAGAAGACTTATCTTGAGGTTCCTTGCAGCCTGTGACTGTGGCTCTGGCCACCCCCGCCCCCCACCCCACCTGGAGAATGGCCACAAAAGCCCTCCTTCTTCCCACTCAGGACTGGTCCAGCCCCAGAGTGGTCATCCATGCCATCCCACCCCTGTGGACATGTCTTCACTTCTCCAAAGCCTGTGCAAGGCCCCGCTCTGCCGCAGCCCCTCCGGCTGGAGTCTCAGTCCTCAGCTGGCTCCAGGGAGGGAAGGCACTGGTGCTGACTCTGGGTCTCTCCCATGCATGCAGAGATCCAGATGACATCCTCTTACACCCTTTGCCTTGTGTGGTCACCCCCCAAGCCACAGCAAGATCCGGGTAATGAACCACTGCTTCTGTTTTGGCTCCATCTGCCCTGGCCAGGCACTGGGGATACCCCACTTGCTCATCTGTTGGTTACTGGTGCTGCCCACATGCGGGAAGTGACGCTGAAGCTCAGGGGACAGTGAGGTGCCTACGGTGATCCTGTGCACCCTGCCTTCACTTGGCAATAGCCAGGACCGCCAACCTCCCTCCTGTCTCCCTGGCCATTCCGTCTGTCTCCTGCGTCTCCTCTAAGCTTCATCTCCCCAATCTCCAAGGCAGGAGTGCCCCAGGCCCAGGCTTTGGTCTTCTTTACTCACCCACCGTCTTAGTGATGATGCCCAAATATGGATCTCCAGCCATGGCCACTCCCCAGAACTCCAGACCCAAATATCTGCCCATCCACTCAGTATTTCCACTAGGAGCATAAACAGGCCCAAATCTGAACCCCAGGTCTCTCTTCATGTCAGCATTCAGCCCCTCCAGCCTTCCACGTGCTCCAGCCAAACCCCCAGCAGTCATTCTTGGGCCTCCTTCCCCTCACACCCCATATGCAAAAAGAGAACAAATCCTGTTGGCCCCACCTTCAAAACAGAACCAGAATCCAAACACTTCTCATCACATCTGCTGCCGCCAGCCTCCAGGCACGAAGCCTTTCCCAACCTCCAGCCTTCCTCCCCACCTCCCCCATTTTGCAAATGGGGAAACTGAGGCTGGCAGAGAGCCCTGCCCAGGGTCATGCAGAAAACCCACCAGGGCTAGCTAGAGCCTGGATCTGCAATACCTCCCCAAAGTCTGCGTCCCAGCTCCCCAGAGAGGGTTCTCCCTTGAAGTCAGCTTAGCAGGCAGGCCTGACAACATGGCCAGGCTCTGAGCTGCGCCTGCATGTGTGTCCCTGAGGAACAAAGACGCTGCCAGCTGGGTTTATGTTTCAAGGCGTCTGTCCTCGCCCTTGACCAAGAGATCTTACAGGGAGATCGGGGCCAGGGCCTGGTGTGGGGGAAGTGCGGGGGGAGAAAGTACATCAATCGGAAGCCGCCTTGCCTGGAAACCGGAGAGTTCCCCCACCAGCCCCAGGGTCTGCCCAGTTCACTTGAGGAGGCCGGGAACTGCAGGGGCAGGCTGGGGCTCGCTCAGCATTTATTTCGTACAGCTGCTTAGAAAGCTTATTTTAAAATAGAGATCATTATATATATATATATTTATATATATAAAATATATAAAGAGGAATCAAGAAGAGCCACCCCAAAGAAAAAGCTATGTTTTATAAATATTTCTGTAGCTTCCACATCCCAAAGGAAGAAAAATCAGAAAACCAAAGAAAACATTTACAGCCCAAGCTAGTGGTTCCATGTGGCAGGCCCAACAGGATCAGACCCCAGGGTGGGCCAGGGGGCCCCGCAGAACATTCTGAAGAAGGCGGGCAGACCCCTTCCCAGAGGCTGGTCTCTGTGGCCCTGAAAGGTCAAGTCCGTATCAGTCTCACCAAATCCCATGCCCCGCTCCTTAGACCAGCCTGTGGGCACTCCAGGGCCTCAGGCTGCCAAGTTATTTTTAATCTTGTTGGTTTCCTTTGATGTCCCGGCCCTCATTCCAGGGTGGCCAGGCCCTCTGTTCCTGGTGGCTTCCAAGTGAAGGCAAAGCACAAGCCTCCTCCCATGCCTGGCATCTGGAATTCACAAGCAGAGATCCAGGGGGCGTCTCCAGGCCCCTGGCCCCAGCTGCTGTGGGTCCTTGAGCAGAATCCTCACTCCGGCGTGGGGCGGAGGGCAGGGCCTCACTTGCATACATAGCGCTCCACGGTGCGCTCACACCTGCGGCAGGTGACGTAGCAGCACCAGTGGTACTTACAGTGGCACCGCTCGACCACGCGGTCCGTGTAGGGGTTGTAGCCACGCCCGCAACACATAAGGTCGCAGCTGTCACTGCCATTGGATGTCTTGTTGCACTGCCTGTTGTGGGGGTGGGAAGGAGGTCAGTGCATGCCTTGGTCACCACCTCCCCACACTCCATGACCCCCAGCCAGGCAGCCGACAGCCTCTCCCATGGCCACCGACTCAGCCCTTCTTGTAAGTCGTCTTGAACTTTCGGGAATTTTAAATAATCCTCTTACCTAAAGGTACTTCTAACTTTTCCCTATATTTCTAATAAGAGGTTACCAAAATGATGGGGTTGTTTTGTTTTCTTTTTTTTTTTGAGACGGGGTCTCACTGTCTTGCCCAGGTTGGAGTGCAGTGGTTGTGATTATGGCTCCCTGCAGCCTTGACCCCACCCCCCATCTCAAGTGCTCCTCCCACTTGGCCTCCTGAATAGCTGGGACTACAAGCATGCGCCACCATGCCTGGCTAATTTTTTATTTTTGTAGCAATGGAGTCCCATTATGTTGCTCAGGCTGGTCTTGAACTCCTAGGCTCAAGCAATCTCCCATCTCAGCCTTCCAAAGTACTGGGATTACAGGCATGAGCCACTGTGCCCAACCTTGTTTTGTCTTCTTAGAGGTATCTTTTTTGTTTCTTCTACTTCTAAATACCGGAAGGAGCCTCTAACCAATCTAATAATCCTATCTTTATGTGTAATCTTTTTTTTGAGACAGTCTCGCTCTGTGGCCCAGGCTGGAGTACAGTGGTACAATTTCGGCTCACTGCAACCTCTGCCTCCTGGGTTCAAGCAATTCTCCTGCCTCAGGCTCCCGAGTAGCTGGGATTACAGGCATGCGCCACCATGCCTGGTCATACTTAATCTTTTATTAAATATTATGACAGATATAAAGATCACTTGATTTTTAGAATCCTAGGATAAATTCTGAAATACTCGAACCCCCAGTGGGCATCAGGCATGCTGCTCGTGGAGGAAGGGGTCTGTCAGCCACGTGCCTCCTGTGGGCCAGACCCTCCCCCCAGTGTTTTATCTTAGTGGGGGCCCACAGGGCCCTTGGGCTAGTGAATTTATGTCCATTATGCAGATGAAAACAGGCTCAGCAAAGGGCAGAGGCTTAAACTCGGATAAAACTAAGGCCCTGGCTTTCTCTCCCTACCCTAAAGGGCAGGGTGTGGAAGCCAGCAGGGGCTGCATTTCTTCCCAAATGTGGTATGAAAAGACATTGAAGTTCCCTATAAAATGCAAGCATCCTTCTGTTGCTCTCAGTTCTTCTGTCTAGTGACAAATCATCTGTTCAGACTAGTGGTTCCTCTCACTGGGCTGAGGCTAGACAGGGAGTGTTTTCAGTTGGGGACAGAGCAGCAGGGGTCTGGGGTACTGACAGGGACAAAGGGTCCCCACAGGTGGATGGAGGAATCCAAGATGGGCAAGTCCTAGAGATGACGGAAGGCAATCCTCATATTTACTGATGAGGAAACAGACACAGAAGGGGGAGGGGCCTTGCCTGGGGGTGAGTACAAGGCCTTTGAAAGTTCAGGAGGGCTTCCTGGAAGAGGAAAGGCCATCTAGGCCATTCATGAAGGATGAGCAGGACTCCATCATGCAGAGGAGGGAAGGAGTGCTGGGGTAGAGGAAACAGCCTGGGCAAAGGCAGAAGAACAGGCCTGCCCTCAAAACAGGGAGAGCAGATGGAAGAGGAGGGCTGGTGGCCCAGAGGAGGCTTAGTAGTGCTGAGGGACAGGCCAGGTCTGAGCTGGAAGGGGCGATGGGCAGAAGGAGGGGAGCGCCTGGGGAGAGACAGCCAGTGATCAGCAAGTGGGGGCTGTCAGCAGTTTCCAGAAGAACACATGCCCCAGAGCCAGAGAGACATGGGTTCAAACCTCAGCTCTGCCACTTACTGGCTATGTGACTTAAGGCAGGTCACTGAACCTTTTTGGGCTTTGTTTAGCCACATGGCATTAATGAGTCCCCCCTCAGCCTTATCCTGAAAGCTGTGGCTGAGCACTATATCCTGAGAGGCAGGAAAGAGACAGAGTTCTTTTTCTAATTTCTGGATCCCTGACATGCACTGTCTGACCTGGCCTCCGATGGCAGAGCCAGACAAGGCCCAGGTGCCTGGGACCAGGACTGGGGTCAGTGGGGCCACGGACCCAGAGGAGGGCCATTGGAATACCTGGCTCCCAGGGCACAGGGTGGCTCAGACCGTTGAGGGGGGCGAGTTTCAGGGGTGCAGGTCTCTGGAAGAAATACTACAAGAGGGCTGGGGTTTGGAATATTGACTGTAGATTAGGCCTCGGTTTCCCCAGGTTAGATTTGAGGATACTGCAAGGTGTCTTCCCCAGCTAGGGAGCCAGCCTCTAGAGATACCACCCGTGCACACGCTTTGCACAGTTCACAAAGCTCACTTACATTCAACCTCCAACCCAATCAATCTCACATTTCTCCTCCTCTAGGAAGCCTTCCTTGATGTCCAGGCTGGGTCAGGGACCCTCTGGGCTCCCCTCACTCTGGGCTTTCTTGTCACGACCTGAGCCCTTGGGGATCCCCCACCAGCACCTGCCAGAGCCACAGCTGACCTGCAGTCTCAAGTAACTGGTGCAAAAAATGTTTGTGGTTGTAAACTGCTGAGAAATTAGGGGTGTTTGTTACTGCAGCAAAAGCCAACTAACACAGATGCCTGCAAGGGCCCCCCCAGGGAAGTACTGGCAGCCACAAGCCGGAAAACTGTGGGGGCTGCAAAGGAAGCCAGGAGGGTGGGTGGTGCTGTGGGGCTTCTTCATCAGGAGTGAGGGGGCGCTGGGAGAGTGGAGCCTGGCAGCCTGAGGGCACATGGGGAGGGGAGACTGCCAGGATGGGAGGGGGAGGGGAGATGCTAGGTAAGTGTGCTTGGAGATCACTGCCAACCCTGTGAGTGGTGGAGTGCCCTCCCCACCCCACAGGACACAGGCCTGAGCCTCAACTCAGTGAAGGATGTGCTCGAGTCCCCCCACTGGGAAGCTGTGCCCTCGCTGACACACACAGAGCACACAGATCCAGGAAGACCCTTTCTTCGCTCTTGGGTCCTCCGTGGGCCTCCTGTAGCCCTCCGTGTTCTAGAATCCTCCTCTAACTCCCCGGTCCCCATGTCCGTCAGCCCAGCCTCTGGCTCCTTCCTGTCTCCCTGGCCTGACCTGGTTCCATCTTCCCTCTGCCGATCCCTGCAATCTGGCCTCCAGATGGGAGCCTGGGCCTCCTCACAGAGCCTGCTGCCCTGGCCTGTGGGGATGCAGCCCCCCAGCCCACCCCTCCCTCTCCTGGAGACAGGAACGTGGGCCGTGGAGGAAGTCGATGCTGGCTGTGCACCAACAATGTGCCAGACACGTTCCCAGACACCCACTCTCTGGTGCAATATTCTTTTAACCCCGAGAACACGAGTTTTGTGGAATGCTATTAGGGGCTCCTTAATAAAAGAGTTCCATGGCCAAACACCTCTGGGAAGTACTGGCTTAAACAGATCCTTCACTGCAGATTCCTCGGAGCTTTTCGTATGTTCTAGTGCCTTGTGAAGCGCCAAAGAGAATTTCCCAAATGCATGTGACGCCAGAGCTCTTTCTCTCATAGGAGATCGGGACCAGCTTTCGCCAGCCCCGTCTTCTGGAAAGGCTGCTTGTGCGGTCCTCACCAGCCCCACCCAGTACACAGTAGGTCTGCAGTCACCCCTGGCTCCTTCACTCTCCTTTCCTGAGCTGGCTGCAGCAGCTGTGACTGGGCCTGTGGTAGGGTTCCAGGATAGGGGTCCCCAGGAGGAGATGGGAGGAGCGGTAGGCCAGGGGCAGGGTTCACAGGGGTGGGGACACAGGAGCAGTATCGCTGCATGGAATGCAGGCAGACCTCACTCTCCCTCACTCAGTGGAGGCTGTCTCCACCTCCCCTGGCACCTCAGTCCCTTTTCTGTGCACCAAGCAGGCTGTATGGCCTTTACCCCTCATCTGTTCATCTGACAAACATTTTCTGAGCACCTATCTTATATTGGGCAGCCTCATTCCTGTCCTGTCTCCCAATAGTGGCATTGTCTCTTCCCATCTGTCTCCCCAGCTGGGGAAGGTGGAGCAGGGGCCTCCCATCAGCCTCCATTCCCTGGGCCCCTGCCAGGCAAAGTGCAGAATGCTCCTGGCAGCTCTGCAGGGGACCCTAGGACCCTGGCATCTCCAATCAGCATTCCTGGGGCCAACTCCCTTGACTGAGCAGGGAGTTGCTCAAATGCCAACTGAGTCCCTGCTGTGTGTGTGGCCCTGAGCTGGGGAACAGTGTGTGCAACCTGGGTGACCCTTTCCCGCCAGGGTGGCGGCCGGCCTCACCTGTCTTGTGTCCCATGGGAGCCCACCTTCTCATTCTTCATGCAGAAGTCGGGTGAGCTCTGCAGATAGACGAGTTCCGAGTCCTTCACGGGCCGGATATCCAGGTCCTTGGGCACCAGGTGCTTGCGGGTGCCCATGGGACGGTGCACTACCTTGGTGGCCGACAAGTATCGGGTCTTGAGATCGGCAGCCACATCCTGCAGCTCCTGCAGCCCCTTCCAGCAGGTGCGGATGGAGCAGGAGCCAGACACCCCATGGCACTTACACTTCATTTCCAGAGAGGCGCGCAGAGCCTGCGGACAGGGGTAGGCGTCGGCTGGGCATCCGGAGTCCCCTCCCTGGCCTGTCCTGGGACCCCCATCCCACCCACCCGTGGCTGGGTGCTCTCGGGAAGACACTGCCTGCTGGAGCCACAAGTGATAGAGCTTTTTGCTGTGCAGCTTGGAGGTGGTATGGGTCTTCCTGCAACCTGGGGGGCAGCTGAGGGGCAGCAATAAAGGCATTTGCAGGGATAGGGATGCAGTTATTGAGCACCTACTATATACCAAGCACTCTAACACATAATAGAGGTTGATCATCACAACAGCCCTTCAGGGGAGGTATCCTTATTCCCCCCATATTAAAAAGAAGAAACAGCTCAGAGAGGCTGCCCAAGGTTGCAGATAGGAAATCATGGAGCTGGGATTTGAACCCAGATCTGAGGGTGATTCCAAAAGTGGTGGCTTTTAATTGTTCCATGCTTTTTCTCTCACTAACTGCTTGCTGGAAAAAAGAAAGAAAAGAAGAGAAGGAAGGAAGGGAGGAAGGTAGGAAGGGGAGAAGAGGCAGGGGTAAGTGCAGGAGGCACCTCCCCACCGCCTGGCTGGCTGTCCCCCCACTGCCAGTGCTCCTGCCAGGCGACCCTCAGCAAGCCACATCACCACTCAGAGCCTCTGTCTTCTTTCGTGCAAAGCGAGCACATAATTCCTGCCTTGCAGAGAGCTGTAAGGATGAAATGAGATGACACACACAAAAGGGTTTTGTGAACCACAAAAGTTAAATCAATACTGGTTTTGAAAAATCCATTTAAGTAATAACTATGGTGGAGCCCGTTGGGCTCAAAGTCTTGGGGAGATTTTTGCCCTGGCTCCCAAAAGGACTCTGGCCCACCAGCTTTCCTGGGCCTCAGCTTCCCCATTTATACCTGAGGGGCAGAAGTTAGATGCCTTCTAAGGGCCTTCCAGTTCTGCCTTTTAAACCCTTCTTTCAAAACAAGACTCGGATCCCCCTGCCCCAGCCTGCCCTCCTGTCTGTCCTGTACAGAGGCCGGCAAGAGTCATGGGAAACTGGGCCCATCCCCTGCATCAGAGAGATGGGGAAACTGAGGCACAGAGTGGTCGGGCCTTGCCCCAAGACAAATGAGTTAGTGGGGGAACTGACCAAGGTCCCAGGGCTCCTTCCTCTCGCCAGTGCCAGGAAGTGAGGACCCAGGGAGTGTGTATGGGCATCAAATCTGAAATTTGTGAGAAAAGTCTGTGGAGGTCACAGGAATGAAGTCAACAGGACTGCAGGGCACCGCGGCACTGGCGAGCCATCGAGGGAAGGTGAACTAGGTTCTACTGCTCAGCATAAGTTGGGAGAAGCGCCTGGTGCTTCCCGAGGTACTAAACCCGTGTTGGCGATCTCATTTAATCCTCATGAAGCCCTGCAGCTTGTGGGGATACTGGTCCCTTTTGCAGATGGCCTCAGGGACAGGCCTGATTTGCCCCGAGGCTGAGGACACTCTTTGGGCTGCATGGCAGGGAGGCGAGGGCTGTGCCCCTGGCAGCAGGTGGTGCCCAGCTGGCCTGGCCATGGTGATGGGTGTGCAGGCTGCTGGGAAGGGCTCCCACTGGGTTTCATGAGCAGGGGTGGGGGACAGGTTGGCAGGGCCAGGAGGCAGGAGTCCTGAGTTCCTGGCCAGGCTCTGCTATAGACCCACAGTATGATTTGGCCTCAGTTTCCCTAACTGTCCCAAGGATGACCTGGACATCCAAGAATCCTCACACAAGGGAGACCCTTGAGAGCAGGTGAGACCACAGAAGCCCTGGACATGGGAGTGGCACAGGCCTGGGCTCTATAGCGCGGTGGGGCTGACCCGCTGAAGTGCTTTCGGTGTCACTCAGCGCCTCTGTAAAATGGGGCTGAAGGGTGCAGAGAGGAGCTGATGAGATGCCGACTGCACACGAAGCTCTGGCGGAGTGGCCGTCCTGCCATTCACAGGCCTTTCCCCATCTGTAGAAAGGGGACAACAGGGCCTGCCCGAGTTGTTCTGTGACCACAGGACAGAAACATGTGGAGCACCAAGCACTTGTCTGCAACATGGATTGGTAGAAAATTCATTCACTTACGGGTCCACCCACCCCAGCCTTTTGGGCAGTGAGGTGATGAATGAATGAAAACCTGATAATAATGAATACTGGAGAGAAACTGTTCTGGAGGCTGTGGTGGGTATGGGTGGGAGTCCCTGTTCAATCCAAGCAGATGACCCCTTAGGACATGCTTCTGTCGACCACAGCCCTCTCCACGCACTGGAGGGAGGGACAGCAGCAGGTCACCCCCACCATTTTATAGATGGGAACAGCTGAGGCTAGAGAGGCAGTGATTTGCCCAATGTTCTTAAGAGAGTTTAGTGCCAGAGCCAAGGCCAGGACTCAGAGCTCCTGACTCCTAGTTCAGTGCTCCTTCTGCTTGGACAACCCAAACCCCAGTGGATGCCCTGGAGGAGGAAAGCAAGGCAAGCCCCAAGCAGCTGGTGAGGGAAGGGCTGAGGACCAGGACAGTGCGAGGCACATCAGGTATGGGCCAGTCAGGGCCCGTCCCCCCGCACCCCCGCCATCGGGGCACACTGGGTGGCCCTTTTCCGGCCAATGGCGCAAGCACAACTATCTGGGGGTGGGTGGGGTGGGTGGTTACCTGTCTCCCCACTTCACTGTTGTGTAGACGCATCAGTTTATTGGCTTGGGATCCTGTTTTTTTCACCTTCATAGGAGCATCGGAAAACTTGGCCCCCATGAGGAGCCCGTAGCTGAGGTTGTCCGCACATCCTCCCCAGCGGTTCCCGGGCCCGGGTGGCTCACCTGGGACAGGGCCGCAGGAGCAGCCAGGCAGGTCGCCGGAGGTGCAGGCCCGGGCGATGGTGTGGCTGATGGCGGCGGCCGACAGCGCATACACGAAGGCCGACTCCCGGGTCCCTGGGGGTGGGAGGGGAAGGTCAGCCGGCACCCATCAAGGGCTAGGACCCCGCCCAGGTTGGAGGTCCTTCTCCTTTGCCCACATCCTGCTGTAACCCGGGTGGTACTGGCAGGGGTCAGCACTATGGCCATTGGGCTGTCACCTCTGCTTCCCCAGTTCCCTCTGAATATACCAGCTGACAGCCACACTCAGCACCCTACACCCACAGGCACACTCTCGCCCAGTCCTCCTACTCACACACAGTTCTGGGCTTCCACCCCCTCGCCCTGCACTGGCGTTAGGGGATGCTTTACAGAAGTGAAGCCCAGGCTCTCAGCTCCTGATGCGCAGGCGAATGCATGAAGGGCCTGCTGTGAGTGGACCTGTGTTCCCCACGAAGGATGTGTTCAAGTCCAAACTCCTGTGCCCGTGAGCATAACCTTATGATGAAGTGGGGTCTTTGCAGCTATAATGGGCTGAGATGGGGTCATACTGGATCAGGGTGGGCCCTAGGCCAGTGGCTGGTGTCCTTATAAGAAAAGGGAATTTCGGATACACAGACACACAGAGAGGGAGCTTGCTCTGTGATGACAGAGGCACAGACTGCAGTGACGCAGCTGCAAGATAACACCAAGGATGACCGGCTGCCACCAGGAGCCAGGGACAGGCCAGGAAGGATCCTCCCTAGCACCTTCAGGGGAGCACAGCCCTGCGGACACCTTGGTGTCAGACTTCCAGCCTCCAGAACTGCGAAACAATACACATCTGTTGTTTGCAGGCAGCCAGTTGTGGCCCATTGGACAGCAGCCCTAGGAAACGAATCTGGCACTCAGGAGCCTCCGCTGCGGCGTCCTGGCCATGGGTCTGAGCCCTGGCTCCGTTTCTTAACTAGCAAGCCACTGCCCCTTCTCCAGCCTCAGTTTTCTTAACTGCAGAATACGGGTGATAACACCTACCTCACAGGCTGGCTATAGAGTTCAAATAATTCAGGAAGGAAGGTTTGTCAAACATTAGCTGCTACTATTTAGGACCCACAAGAAAAGTTATTACAGTGCAGGGGAGAGATGACACCTACTGGGGTGCTTCTGCCTGTCGGAAGCCTCCCTATTATATATAAGTCCTCCCAGACCCCCCATAGAAGCCACCTCCTCCAGGAAGTCTTCGAGATGTTCTGTCCCTACACCACTCTGTGCGTGGTGCAACAGTTTCAGCAGGCTGCTTCAGTGTTACCTGTGGCACACCTGTCTGCCCTGAAGGTTTTCTATATAGCATTCTTGTTTCTTTTTTTGTTTGTTTGTTTGAGACAGTCTCAATCTGTCGTCCAGGCTGGAGTGCAGTCTTGCGATCTCAGCTCACTACAACCTCTGCCTCCCGGGTTCAAGAGATTCTCCTGCCTCAGCCTCCTGAGTAGCTGGGACTACAGGTGTGCACCACCATGCCCAGCTAATTTTTTGTATTTTTAGTAGAGATGGGGCTTCTCCATGTCGGCCAGGATGGTCTCGAACTCCTGACCTCGTGATCCACCCACCTCAGCCTCCCAAAGTGCTGGGATTACAGGTGTGAGCCACCGTCCAGCAGCATTCTTGTTTCTAGACTCCTCTCCCAGGAGCCTCCCTGACATGTGGCCTCACATATGGCAGGCCACAGCCTTGTGTCACTCCTTCATTCATGCATGGGGGCACACAGGTATGTGTGCTGTCCTTCAGGCTCCCCTGCGCTGATAGTTCCAGGCATCTGTGTTTACTCGATGGTGAATGCTTGCCCACCCATACCTATGATTAATTCATCCACCCATATGCCCATCCATCCATGCCTGTATCCACCCATCATCCATCCATGAATCCATCATCCACCCACCCATGAACCCATCCCTCCATCTAAACACACACAGATCGATGCCTGAATTCCTTCGCCCACACCCACACATGTGTTCAGCAGCCTCACTAGCTCCTACCTCTCTCCAGGTCAAGCAAATAGTTGGGGGCGAGCTCGATGGAGGAGCAGTTCCAGCGCATGTCGGCGAAGGCCCGGCGGCAGGCCTTCATGACCTCGCGGGCAGCGTGCACCACCGTGTGCATGAGCTCCAGGTTGCTGCGGCACAGCTGCACCTGCGCAGACACCAGGCCCTCCAGCTGCTTGCAGTGTTGTGTCTGGTTCAGTGCCAGGGCCGCTGGTGTCTTGGACAGTGCCCTGCACATAGTGGAAAGGCCGTGACCGATGGAAGGAGAGACAGTGTTGTCAGGGGCCACACGGCCTCCACCCGCCCCAGTGGCTCTAGCCTTTCCACCTTGCTCCTTCCAAGAAAGGCTCCCAAAGTGCCGGCTGGCAGAGCAGTGGATCCCCCTCCCACCCCTGTGTGACCTTGGGCACGTTACTGTCCCTCTCTGGGTCTCAGGCCCTATTCATAACATTAGATCACAACCCCCAGCCTACCTAAGTTTTATGGTAATTATACTAATGAAACAGCTGTACAGTTCACAACGCTCATATCCACTGCCTGATTTAGTTCTCACACAGCTGTGAATTATTAGTCTTTATGCAACATTCATTCAACACTGAGCAGCTATGTTCCAGAAACCATGAAATGCTAGATTCTTATAATCACAATAATTGTCCATACTATTAACTGAAGCCTTACTAGATGAGCAACATGAGTTAGGAGTTTTCCATCACTGCTTCATTTGATTACTAAGCCCATTTATTATGTTGTAAAGTCCCATATCCATGCAAGGAATTGCTAATAAAGGATTAAAGAGCCGCTCAGTTTTGTGATGACCTGGAACTTGGAAAATTTAGTGTCTAATCCACACGTGGCCATTAACTTGTTGTGTGACCTTACACAATTCATTGTCCCTCTTGGGCCTCAGTGTTTGTACTTGTCAACTGTATTTCCTAGAATGGGTTCCAGTGAGACACTCTGACAAAAGGGATCCATTTGGGGAACACGATGTACTGTGTCCCCGCTTGGAGAGTCGGGATGCACATTTATATTTTAAAGGTCCTCAGAAGTCCTGCAGCAAAGCAATAGACTTGGTTTTGTTTAGCTTGGGGAGTCTGTTGAGCGTACTAAGCACAGAGCCCTTTGCTTAGGGCTGCTGACCTCATCCATGCTTTGGGAAATGTTAGCCTAGTGGGTCTCTGTGAACCCTGGTGATGTTAGGGAACCCGAGAGCCTCCCAGATCCCAGCTCTGCACACCTGGATTCCAAGACTCTAGGACCAGGACCCTCCTGGATCTGCTATTCTCCCAGGCCTTCTCTGAGGGGCAGGCTGCATCAGTGGCACTTCATCTAAGTGCAGGCTAGAAGGACCCCACAGCCCTAGAGGACTCCACATGGATTCACTCCCAGTGCCCCCACCCACAGCAGGGGCCATCTGGAACCCAGAGCCAGCTGGCCTTCAGCAACCCAGCAGAGACCCAGGAGGGACAAAGCCAAGAGGGGTCAATCTACAGCACTCAGAAGTTCTGAGTGCCCTGCCTGCTGTGGCCCCAGCGGTCCTCACCCAGGGTCAGGGCTGAAACCTGGCAAGTTGGAGATCCCAGAACCCCTGGGCTGAGTTCTGAGGGAGGCAGCCCATTGCCAAGGGCACTGCACAGGTTCGGGTAGACTCCAGGCTGTATCGCTCCCCTTGCAACCTTGAGCAAGTCACTTAACCTCTCATTTCCCACCCACCTCCCAGTATTAACTGAGGGCTTAAATCAGACAATGTGCATCACATGCTCTGGCCCAGGGCTGATGTTCTGTGCTCAGAGATGGAAGCTACTATAATTACCACCTTGGTGGTCTTTTCCTACCTGGAACTGCCTAGTCAAGGCCAAAGGCTGTCACCTAACATTCAGGGCCCCTCAAAGCCTGGCCTCTCAGCTCTCTCCAGGCTCCAGTTCTCATCCTGACATCCAGCTGCAACAGGTTCCTGACTTCTCTGAAAGGAACTGTCCTGCCACCATGCCTTTCCCCAGGCTTTTCCTGATGCCAGGAAAGCCTTTCCTCCTGCTTCTGCACATGAATGAATAAATGAACTTGATCTACTTGTGGAAGAAACATTTACTAAGCACCAACTCTTCCCAGTCTCATTTGGTAATGAACATGACATAGATCCTCAATTCAAGGAGTGCCTAGTCTAATGGCTGGATAAAGCTATCAACAGTTATAAATCAATGACCCAGCTGTTCTAGCTCCTGGTCTGGCCCCAAGAAGAGCAGCACAAGTTTTGGACACCAGCTGTGTGACCTAGGTAAGTTGCCCAAACTCTCTGGGCCTCATGATCCTCATCTGTTATAAAGAAATGATAAGGCCAGTTGAGATGGCTCACACCTATAATTCCAGCACTTTGGGAGGCCAAGGGGGCAGATCATCTGAGGTCAGGAGTTTGACACCAGCCTGGTTAACGTGGTGAAACCTTGTCTCTACTAAAAAAATACAAAAATTAGCTGGGTGTGGTGGCACATGCCTGTAATCCCAGCTGCGTAGGAGGCCGAGACAGGAGAATTGCTTTAAACCAGGGAGTCAGAGGTTGCAGTGAGCTGAGATGGCGCTACTGCATTCCAGTCTGAGTGACAGAGTGAGACTCCGTCTCAATAAAATAAAATAGAATAGAAATAATTACTACTTCAAAAGGCTATAAGGCTGGGGGTTGTTGCTTATGTCCATGATCCCAGCTACTCTGGAGGCCAAAGTAGGAGGATCCTTTCAGGCCAGGAGTTCAAGACCACCCTGGGCAACATAGTGAGAGCCCCCGTCTCTACGAAAAAATTTAAAAATTAGCTGGGTTCTGTGGTATACGCCTGTAGTCCCAGCTACTTGGGAGGATCACTTGAGCCCAGGGGTTTGAGGTTACAGAGAACTAAGATTACACCACTGCACTCCAGCCTGGGTGACACAGTGAAACCTGTCAACTGGAAAAAAAAAAAAAAAAGAAAAAAGGCTATGGTGAGACTCAAATTAAATAACGGAATGTATGCAAAGTGTTTAAAATATTCCTAGATGAAGCAAAGTTCCCCCGCTTTTTGCCTAGCAAGTGTTGGACCAGAGGGAGTGAGAAGACCTGAGTTCTCACTCAAGCTCTGTCCTCTATGAGCTGTGCAAACTTGGGCAAACTGTTGTCCCTCTCTGGGCATCAACTACAACGTGGGGAGCTCTCGGAGTCTTGCCAAGGCTGAATGATATGTGCTACAATAAGTACTCAATAGGCTTCTTCACTTCTTCCTGTCTCTCACGCTCTGCCATGCCCCACCCACCCTATCACCCCAAAGATAGAAACCTTCCTAGAGACCCAGAAAGCAGGGCCTGGTGTTTGTGGTTAGCGTGGCAAGACTCACCCTGTGTAAGATCAACTGTGGTGTCCAGGGCAGTCTCCCCTCCCTGCTACCCCCTAAACTATGAGCCGGGATGTGTTTGGTGTGTAGATGCCAGCATCCGGCACGGGGTGGGCCACACAGCAGCCCTCAGATGCGGTTTCTTGACCTAACTGGAACTGCTCTGGCCTACCCTCGCCTCGCCCTCTTGGGGAACCTGTGGCTGAACCCTGCTGTACTTCCTGGGTGGGCTCCAACCACTCAAAGGCAAATGTCATCACCTCGGTGCACTTCCGGTTGTCACAGCCCCTCCACCTCCACCCAGCAGATGCTGTCCCTGTGTGCAGTGCGGTGGCGGTGGTGGAATTACAGCCCCATGTGGGCACAGCCTTCCCAGCTGGCACAGCCTCTCACGTCACACTGCAGAGGGTGGCCAGGAGGGGCTGATCATCCCTACTTCAGGGGCTGTGCTTGTCCAGCACCCCCCAGCAGGCCCTGCCATCCTTCTTGGTGAGGCTGTCAGTCCCTACGGGCGCTGTGGTCATTTCTCTCTGGGTCCCCACTCTGCTTTGCTCTGGGCAATCCCCACCCAGCCTGTCTGAGCCTGTTCTGCCGCTCACCCTCGCCCAACTCTCCACCCCCTTCCTCTGAGCCAGCTTCCTCCCTTTACAAACATGGGTGACAGCACATCATCGCATGGTCCAGCAGCAGGCGCATGGCACATGTGGGAGTTCAGGCTGCCAAGGCAGCCTCCCGTGTCTTTCCCTGGGCTCCTGCTTAAGCCACAGGGTAGGACAATGGGGGCTGAGCCTCTTCCCAGGGAGCAGGGTGCAGACAGCTTGTGAGTGCTGGGTGCCACAGCTCTCAGGGAAGAGAGCTGGTGCTCCCAGTGCCTGGGTCTCCTTAGCTGGGACCCTGGGGTGAGCCCCAGAGCCATCCTGGGTCTCAGTCTCTCCATCCTCCCTAGAAGGCTAAGGGAGAAGGTGCTGTCAGAGCACCTTCCAGACAAGGCTCAGACTCCCCAGGCGGCCAGAGGGTAGATGAGAAGCCAATCCAGAGGCCCGGGTGGGCACAAAGCAGCGTGGAGGCTCAGGGCCCGCCGTGGAGGCTGAGGCTGGTACGGGAGCAGCCAGCCATGCATGCCAGGGAGGCCACCCGCCCACCAGGGCTGCAGGCAGAGATCGGAGGCGGGAGGCAGCAGATTCCACTCCCGAGGAGGGCCACGCGGTCATCTGGTAATTAGTGGTAATGACCGTTTCCAAATAAATCCCCCTTGGGGAGGTAATCAAGGATTAGGACGGGAGGCGGGGGAGTTCTCCTTGTGGACATCTCGCTTGCTTCACTCCAGCAGACCCCTAATTGGAAACATTTCAGTTTATCTGGGGGTGGGGCCTGGGGGAGAGGGTGGAAGAAAGGACAGGAGGGAACGCAGAGTTCACAGGCGAGGCCCAATCTCAGGGCCCTACCGGGGTGGCGAGGCCTCCTCTCATTCAGGAGTTGGGGGCCTTGCTAGGACTGGCTGGGGCAGGGACCTGGGTTCAAGCCTGGCTCAGTGTTTTCAAATGAGAAGGACGACGTGGGTGGCAGCACATGCGACCTTGGGCGAGTCACTGTCCCTTGCTTCACCTCAATTTCCCCATCCATACTGCTCAATGTCCAAGAACAATGCAGGCTCTGACATTGGTAACACAAGCTGTCAAATGACTTCACTGAGGTGTTTTCCTGTTGTGCCAGCAGCCCCAACCTCAGGCTGCTCTAGGGGACCCAGCCCCGGTAAAGCACCTTCCAAGAAGGGCTTCCCTCCTGGACCTGCCCTTCACAGCATCCCTCTCCCTCTAGGCACAGGGGTCAGGTCACAGGATGAATTCTAGGCCAGAGACCTGGCAGCCGGGTTCGGGCTCCTTTAAGTGCCCTGGGCCACAAGGTCCCTCTCTGCAGTTCTGCAGCCCTGCCACCCACGGTGCTGAGTGGCATCGCCAACCTATTTCCGGGTGAGGCTTCAGCAGAGCTGGGCTCAGAGGACCTCAGAAGGCGCCCCCAGCAGCACCACCCAGAATGTAGCCTGGCAGCTGCCCACCCAGGGGGAAAGATGGGGTGAGGTCAACAGGTGGCCGTGGGAGAGACCCTGATGCCCACATCTGTGCTTCTGGGATGAGGAGGATGCTGGTCAGAGCTGTGGGCTGGCTTAGGGTCTCAGTCTTGCCCTAGAATCCCCATGTTTCTGCATCTGTGGACCCTGCTGACCCTGAGGTGGGAGAGAAATGGAGTTGAGGAGACCCTGTTCTCCCAGCCAGACCTTTGTCCCTCCCCCTGCCCATGTCCCTTTGGGCTCTCCTGGGCCCCACCGCATCCTGGTGCCCATGTGGCAGGGAGGATGGAGCAGGAACCGGGGCTCCAGGCCATCCAGGCAAGCCCCGCCTCTCCCCAGGCTTCCGTCTACTCCCCTGGGACAGCCTTGGAGAACCTCTCCCTCTATGACTCCCCAGTTAACTCCTCAATTAGCTCCAGGTCCAGGAACCAGGGTGAGGTCTAGGAACCTCGGAAGTGCCCCTTCCTCGCCAGCCACCCCAGCTTGGGGCTGCAGCTGGCCGTCCAGGAAGAAGAAGCCTCTGGGGTCCCACAGCCTGAGAGTCCTCCTGTTCCCTCCTAGGCTTTGTCCCAGGGCTCCAGAGTGAAGAGGGACCAGTCCAGCCCTTGACCCCACTGTACAGAGAAATGGAGGCTGATGAAGGGCCTGGAGCCTGCAGATCCAGTCCTGCCTGGAAATGACACTGAGTCCCTTCACACCTGACTGCCCAGACCTCAGAGATGGAAGCCTGTCCCCTTGGCCTCATACATGCTGACCCACCTGTGCAGTACACCTTGTGAGGAAGAGCCCAAACAGGCCTTGGTCTGACACTTCTCAAACAAGAAGCCAAAGGGCAGCTGCCACAGCGTCACCAACTCCCACTAGGCAAGTGGGGAAACTGAAGCCCAGAAAGGCAGGGCTTGCCCAGATCTGTACACAGCCAATCAGAGGCAGAGCCAAGCTAGACCCCCAGGCCTCCCACATCCCAAGGTAGGGCTCCTTCTATTCCTATCTTAGAGCTGAGGAAACTGAGGTTCAGAGAAGCTGAAGCGATTGACCTGCAGAACTCAGGCTGGGCCTCCCACTCCCAGTCTGACCCTCCTTCCACCCTATTCTGCAGCCCAATGGCGCTTCTAGAGCTTCCTGGCCCCACCGCCGTGGGAGCGGCAGATGTGGGACTGCCCAGGGAAGGGGGCGGCCTTTATGGGTGTTCCCAGCCACCCTGGGCCTTTCCTCTCACTCACCGCCCCTGCCCCCGTGGTTCACAGGAGGGTGGGACTCTCCTCAAACCCTCCCCTATCCAGGGTAGCCAAGAAGTGGGGACAGCCCAGACCTGGGACCCTGAATACTTGTGGGGCAGGGAGCCTTCCGGTGCTGGGCCTGGGAGGAGGTAAGGAGGGAAGGGTCTCCAGGTTATTTCTGGGCAGGTGCCTCCATGAGCAGCCAGGTTCCGATCCCCTCTCCCCAGCCCCCATCCCACCAGCTCAGCCTGCATCCTAGGCGCCCCCCAGGTGAGCATTCCAGGCCACTCAGCCACACTGGATTTCAGTTCCTGTGCCAAGTGCCCCTTTCATCTCCAGCTCACTCTCCAGAGCTCAGGCCAGCGGAGGCTGCTGGGTGAGTCCCCGGCTTTCCAGGCTCACTGAGCACATCCCCGATCCCAGCTGTGCTGGGGCTCCCTGTGCCCAACAGTCCACAGAGCCAGGTAGTTTAACTCAAGCCCTGCCTCCACTACCTCCGAGCTGTGACACTCTGCTAGGTAGAGTCCCCCATGCCTCTGTTTTCTCTTCTGTGCAATGGGGGTAATGGCAGCACTCACTTCACAGGGTAGTTGGCAGATTTAAATGGGACAATATACATAAAGCACTTAGAACAGTGCCTGGCATGTAGCGAGGCTGTGTGTGTAGACATATATGTACATATACATACATCTATCCACACGGCCTACACACCTGTCTATATATACACATACACACATGTACACACAGATAACTGTTATTCTTAAACTCCACCCCTTCTCCCTCTTCTCCCTCTATCTTCAGCAAGCCTTTAACCTCTCTTATTAGACTATCACCTTCTCGCTGGAGTGCAGTATGGTCTAAATTCAATGATCCAAGCTCTCGGAGCAACCCCTGAGGCAGTTAGGAGTAGGCTCTTGTGGTGCCTAGTTTCTCCAGGTCTCCCCACACGCACTGTTCGGCCTCCAGGCTTTTGCTTGTGCTGTGCCTCCTGCCTGGGACACCTGCTTTGCATTCCATCTCTGACCACCCAAATCCTCTCTGTCCTTCCAATCCTGGCCCAGGCTCCTCCCTTAGGTAGAACTGACCACGCCTTCTCTGGACTGGGGTGCCCCCTCTGCTAGAACACAAGTCATAGTCCACTTTGTATTTCTATGTGTCCATCTCCCCCAAGAAGCTGGGGGCTTCTTTAAGGCACACAATGAGTCGTACCAATTTCTGTGGCAACCTAACTCTGCCATGGGGACAGAGGACATGGTTGTCAGGCTTAGCCAGCCGTCCACCCCACCACATGCCAGCATGGAGACTTGAATGCATCAGGCCCTTCGTGGGGCCTCAGTTTTCCCACTGTGGAGCAGCGATGATGGCAGTGACCCTACAGCACCCTCAGGGGCAGCAAATGCCACCCAAGCCCAGTGCAAGGCCTCTGATGCTCCTGGTGCCCTTCGGCCAATCCTCTCCTTCCCTGGACCTTAGTATCCTTATCTGTAAAATGGTGGCCGTGGAGGAGAGAGCTTGGACTCACAAATCGGAGGTCCCTGCCAGCTGGAACAGTGCTGGGTACCCCACCGCAAAGGGAAGGTGGCTGGTTTCTCACAGAACTCCTCAGGGACAGCTGGGAAGAGCTAGTGCCCAGGGCCAGCAGACCACTGAGATCAGCCTTCTTATAAACAAGAAAGGCAGGAAGACATGGTCCCCACCTTGAATCAGCCATTAATCAATAACTTGGCCCCAGAAGGGGCAGGGCCAGTGACCTCCAGACTGTTTGCTGGCGGCGCAGCCATTATCGCCCTGTCTTCCAACTAATTCGCAAACCGTCTGCAGGGCCCTCCCCAGCCCCCTCAACCTGTCCCCTGCTGTCTTATCTGCAGGCTCCCTGCCCCAGCCCCGAACTCCAGACCCTTGTCCCGTCCTGGACTTGCCCTCTGAGGGAGCCCCTCTGCTCACAGCGCCCTCCTCTCCACTGCTCGCACTAGCGAAGCCGGGCAGCGCTTCAGTCACTAGGGGTACAGCCCGGGGAAAGCTTCCCAACGTCTCAAATCTGCGTCCCCACCAGGTGGGCTTCCTCTAGCCCCCCGGAACCCCGCTCTGGTTTCTCCTCGGGCACTCGGACACTTGTGGAGTTATTTACAGCCTGGGCTTATCTCTCTCAGCTTAGAGGGCAGCCCCTCCAGGAAGGGGCTGGCGTTGACTCCTCTCCTCACCACCCCCGGCCCCCTGAGCAGGCACTCCCTTGTGCTCGGCACCGAGCCTCCCGCTCCCTCCTCCCGCTGCGTGAATAATTTCTATCTAAATGAGTGCCCTGCACTTGTGCGCAGCGGCATCTGACAGCTTCTGGGGTCCTTTCAGGAGACTTTTATCTGATTTGAGTGAGGTGAAGAGTCGCACCCTCCTGCGACAGAGGAGGACACGGAGGCTCCAAGCAGTAGTGACACAGCCCCAAGGTCACCCAGGTGGAGGGGCCAGGAGTGTCTCTGCGGAACTCTCGCTAGGGTCAAGGAGACTGACTGACTAGGAACCCTCCTGGGCTGGGCCCTCTGGATTGCGCCCCCTCATCAGGATGTCTTTTTCCTTCGCCCCTGCGGAGGTGGCAACTCCGCGGCCTTTGCGCCACCGTTAGCTGCACAGGACCGGGAGCTTCCATCGCCGTCCACGCCTGTCTCGCTCCCTCTTCGCAAGCCCCCAGGAGGTAGGGACGACATTTTACAGAGGAGGAAGCGGAGGCTTAGGGATGACTTGCCCACGACCGCCAAGCCAGCTTGGGCTCCCAGGTCTCGGCTCGCTCGCCCCATACAAGGAACCCAGTAACGCCCCCCGCCGCCTCAGCCCCGGGCCTGTGCGCGTGGACGCGGGGTCCCCCTACTCACAGCCACTTGATGCCATAGCACACGCCGGTCTGGAGCGCCAGGGCGAAGAGCAGCGCCTCGCAGATTTGCGGCCGCGCCCTCATCGTCGCGCGGCAGGCGCGCCCGGGGTCACACCCAGGAGGAGCCGCGCCGAAGTCCGCTTGCTCGGCCGCCGCTGGTCCTGCACGCCGCCTGCAGCCGGGGAGTGCAGAGACTGCGGGTTAAGGAGGCGCGCGGGCGGGGGAGGCGTTTTATTCAAATTACAAAGGAGGGGTCGGGGCCCCGGGAGGCCAGGCGCAGCGGGCGTCCCCTCCTGCCCCGCCCTGCCTGGGGATGGGTCCCGCGCCTGGCTCGAATTAGGTGCGGCCGAAGGCGTGTCCGCCAGCGCGGCCCCGGGCCCCGACGCACCCTCCGGCCCCTCCAGCCCGGGCAGCCGGAAGGAGGGACAGGAGGCGGCAGAGCCGGAGACCCCCGGAGAGCGGACCGACACAGCGAGAGGGAGAGGAACGCTCAGAGGACAAAGCTGAGAGCCACGGAGGCAGAGGAGAACCGGACAGACGCAGACCTGAGATGGAAAGGAGAGGAATCCGGAGTCCGGGCGAGGTAGCAGAGTCGGGGCCCCGGAGCCGGGCTTATCCCGACAACATGGATTATTAGTTATTAGGGCCTCGGCAATTCTCCTTCCCAACTGTGCCTCAGTTTACCTCCTCGGTACGCTGGGGCAATTCGGGCACAATTCAGCTTTTATAAAGAACGTTCCCTAACACGATCGCCTCTGCTCCTCCCGGCACCCGGTGAGATAGGCACTATCACTGCCCCATCTCACAGATGAGGAAACTGAGGCGCAGAGGTGGGGTCGTTCAGCTATGGAGCGGCAAGCCGGGTGTCCGGCGAGATCAGGAAATGGGGCTTGCTCCAGACCCCGCTTTCTCGGTGTGGGAAGGGGAGGATGGGAAACGGGATAGTAGAGTTCTTCGTACAGTGAGGATTCCGAGTCTCCAAATCCGTCTTTAGCCGCCCCACTTTGGAGGGTAGGGGTGGGGCGTGCGAGCCGGGACTGGGCGGCCTCGGCGAAGCTGGGAAGCTCGCGGGGCTGGCGCGGTGTTGCCTCTGGCCTCCAGGCGGCGCCCTCGGGCCGCGGAGGAGCAGTTGCCCCGCCCGCCAGCAGCCCGCCGAGCCGCTTTCTCCGCTTTTTTTCTCCTTCCCTTCATTCTCACCTCATTAACTCCCTTCCCAGCTTCTCCCAAATTTACCAACACCTGGCGTTCGCCCGGAGTCAGAAACAGCCCCCAGCTCCTCTCTCCTCGGGAGGAGCAGAGACAAAGAGATTCCTTTCTAAGGGTTTGGGGAGTTGGAAAAGGAGGCGCCCACCGTAGTGGAGGCGCTGGGGCGGAACACGGGCGTTCTCATCTGGCTCTGTGAGCTTGGGCAAGCCCTGAGCCACCCCAGCCTCGGTGTCCCCTTCTATAAGAACGAGGAGCGGGGTTTCACCGTGCGTCCTTCGAGGTCCCCGCCTCCCTGCAGCCTGCGGGACTCAGCGCACCTCTGCTGTTTGCACCGCGACGCCACCTGCGTGGTGCGTTCCTGCGCCTGGGCAGTCAGCGCGCACAGAGGAGAAGCCCCACGGTTTTCCGGAGCCTGCCGGCAAAACCCACAGGAAGACGAGTTAAAGCCTGGATCGCACAGTTCTTTTCCTCCGCACAGCCCCGCAGCTAGCGCCCAGCTCAGGAGCGCCTGCGACAAACGTGCACTCAAGGCTGGGGTTCCTAGCGGGGTTCTAGGTGTAACCGAGCCCCGTCCTCCCACCCACCCTGTACCCAAACCCTTTGTCTAGTCCTGCAAGTTTCCCGCACTTCTCAAAACGAGAAAAATATACGTTGGATATGGAGGGGGGAAATCAAAACTCCAGTCGCCGTCTTCCCCCCTCCTAAAGTGCGCCCCCCTCAAGGCACCCGGCATTCCTGGTTGGGGAGGGGGCAGGGGCTGCACGAGGACGGAGGCGCGCCGACTCACAGCAGGGGATCCATATCCAGCCTAGTCTCCCAGGGAGAGGAGTCGCCTCCTAAGTCGCACAGAGGACTGGGACCCAGGCCTCCAGCCCCTCCCGCCTCTTTCGGAGCAGGCTCGGCTGTCCCAGGACTCTGCCTTCGCCGCCCCAGCTCCTGGCGCAGGGAGGCAGCGCCTGGCCAGAGCCTCTGAGTCCTGACGGACTGTTGCTGTCCCTTGTACGAACGCCCCAGACAGCCGCGCGGGCCGCGGAGTCACCCTCCGCCTGAGACCGCAGGTCAGGGTGCACTCGCCTCCCGAAGCCCCCAGCCCGCCAGAGGGCGCTAAGCCGGGGCTCGAGGTGGGTATCGCGGCTGCCTCCCCAGTCGCGGGCTGGGGGCAAGTGTCCTGGGCCCCCGCATCCTCGTCTGGGGATGGGATGAGGTGTCCAGGTAGTGCCCTCCGGGTCCTGGTTGTTCTATAGGACACTTGCGGTGGGCCGCCGTGACCTGCCCGACCCCTTGCTTGGGGCCTTGCGCATAGCGGGCCCCACCAGGCGCAGAGACTTTGGAGAGCGATCAGTCCCCTCCTTGAAGCTGATCCGAGCTACCCTGCCTGCGCGGGCCCGGGAAGGCGGCCGCCTGGGGCTGTGCACAGGCGGGCACCGCGAGCGCGGCACCGCAGTCCCGAGCCACCAACAGGTGGTCATAGGCCTGGGCTGTGGAGGGCTCTAGAAAGCCTGCCGCTGGGATCAGGCCACGCCGGCCGGCACTTGCGGAACCTTCCCTACCCCGACGCTCTGCGGGCACAGCGAGCCGGGGTCGATTGTCGGCGAGGCGCGCAAGGTCCGCACGGGCAGGTTCCGAAGCCTCCAGCTGCGCAGCTCACCGAGCGGACCCCGCCAACCAGGGACACCTAGCGACGGCTTCAAGGTTACCTGCGGGGCGGGGCGAGGCCGGACTGGCCACCCGACTTTGACCCAAGCCTCGAGGCTTTCGAGAGACCCCTGCTCGGCTGCCGACGCGGCGCCAGGTCATCCGGGAGACGGGTTGTTTTGGAAGTGGGAAGGGTGGGTGGGGGGCACTTCGGGATCCCTCCCGCTAATCCCCTGGAGCCGGACCCTGAGCGCCCAGGGCCATGAGGGACACCGAGGCACTTCAGCCCCAGGGGTGGGAGGCGTGGAGTTCGTGCGCGAGCTCAGCCAGATGTTCGGGGCGGTTCCAGATGTGCCGTGGGGCCGGCGACAGGATTCTCCTCCTCCCCAGCCCCAGCCTGGAGCTCAGGTCAGTAAACAAACTCTGTCCTCCTCCTCCCTCCGCTGCCTTTAGGACCCGTTCTCAAAGCTAGGCGTTCGCCCCCATCCTCAATCGCTAGGTGCTGCCGCATTTCTCTGCCTTTTTGCCACCCTCTCCCACACATCCCCCCACCCCCACCACCACACACACCCTCTGCCGCGGGATCCAGCTGTCCCACCCTGGAGGTGGCTTTGGCAGGACCTCGTCCGCGGGCAGACTGGGAAGGTGGGGGTCGGCTGGGGTGCGGGGGAAGGAGATGGGGACGGGCCGGGAAAGTTTGAGGAGGGCCGCAGGAACTGCGCAACCCAACCCTGTCCAGTGTCCCCCCTAAAGCCCGCGTCGACGGGCTCCCGCGGCTGCGCTCAGCAAGAGGGAACTCTTCGGAGCACTGGGAGGTGAGGTATGGAGGAGCGCTTGGTGTGCTTACCCAGGAGTGGGTGCCCTAGGGGGTCGTGGCGGGTGCGAGAAGTGTCGTCCTCCTAGGACTCGGGCGCTCCCAGCCTTAACGGGTCCTTGCTGAGCAGCTGCCGGTTGCCGGTGACCACTGCTCACCTCCCGGGGCGCTCGCCAGGCGTGTCCTGCGTGCCCGGGAGCCCCGGCCTGCCCAGGGAGCGGCGAGCGCGGTTTCTAGCGGGCCCGGGAGCACTCCGGCTGGGCGAGCGGCGAAGGCGCCCTCTTCTGAAGCGGCGAGAGAAGGAGGCCAGGGATCCTGGCAAGAGGCGGCCGGCTCAGGACCCGCGCGGACTCAGGCGGGGACTCCGGCGCGGACTCCGGCTGCCCTCGGCTGCGCTCAGCTCCCGGGGCCTGCGCTCGCCGCTTGCTGGAGCTCTCCTCCTCGCCCGGCGCGATCTCTGGCGCGGGCCTCCGAAACTGCTTTATAAGGCGCCAGCGGCCGCTTTGATCCGCCCACGTCAGCGCGCCGCAGCCCCACCGGGTGGCCCTGGCCGCGCGCGGGGGACGGGGGCGGGGTCCCCGCGGACGCCACTGACCTGCGGCGCTCGCTGCTCCAGAGAACTTTGCACTCTGTCGAGTTACAAAGGGGGACTCGCTCACTACAGCTGGTGTCTACTAAGCATGCGTGCTGCGTGCCTGGGACACGCGTGGAGTAAGGCCCTTCTAGAATCGTCGCAGCAACCAGGCAAGGAGCCTCAACCCGCCAGAGGGAAGTCAGACTTGGGTCTCAGTCATGGAGCCGGCATCCTTAGTTGTTGGTACCGCAGCGTGATTACTATAGGCGTCGGAGTTCCCAAAGCTTGCCTTTCTGTCCTAGTCCTGGCCATCTCTTCAAGCCTCTGGTTCCAGTCGTGGAAAACGAATCAACGATCCTGCAGGAGAAAGAGACACGAGGACTTGGCGCTGCAAAGCCCGCTGCTGTAAACCTTAGGTGTGGAGCCGGGCAGCTTTCCAGCCACTGGGGTGACTGCTGGGGAGTGTTCTGGACACACGGAAGCGGGAGCAGAGGAGGACCGGGTTTGGGAAGCCAAAGGGGCCTAGAGAGGCGTCTCCTGCACCGCATAGCCCAAGCGTGTGGTGCTTCTGGGACCACTTCTCCTCTCAGTTGGCCTTCCCTGACCAGACCAGCTGCTTACCCCGCAGCACCACTATGATTTTCAACTGCCCGTTGGGTGCTATGGGTTCATTCATGTCTCCCCCTCCTTCTAGGGACCTCAATCCCAGGACGTTCTCAAGGATAACTAGTTCATTAGCAGAAAGGGAAATGGAAACTTAGCGAGGACACGGAGCCTGTCTCAGGTCCCCTCAAAATGCCTGACATTCTTTTCCCCATTCCTTGCAGCTGCAGATGAAATGGCACTCCTAGGCTGCCCCACACCCAGCCACTGCTACCTCCACATACAACACAAACATCTGGGCCCACGGTGCCCACAGCAGCCTCCCAGCCACACCAGTACTCCCACACAGCCAGTCTTCACATACAGGCTGGGGCATATCACCTCACAGATGGTTACTGGCACTTGGGAGATACCAAAACACATCTTCTGCCCTCACACACAGTAGCACAGAGGTGCGAAATGGCCACACACACATCATGAAGGGAGGCAGCACACAGACCACCTGTGCCCAAAGGGTTCATGGACAAACATTCATGAGCTTCCATGCACACACAGCTCCCAAGTGTACAATGCCAAATATGTACTCCTGCACACAATCACAGGAATAGCCTTTGGAACATACACTGGGACACCCCCATCTCTTATCCCAGACCACTGGGGCAATCCGATCAAAAAAGCAGTGGATGTGAGGTGTGGTGGCTTACACCTGCAATCCCAGAACTTTGGGAGGCCGAGGTGGGTGGATCATAAGGTCAGGAGTTTAAGACCAGCCTGGCCAACATGGTGAAACCCTGTCTCTACTAAAGATACAAAAAATTAGCCGGGCGTGGCAGCGGGCACCTGTAATCTCAGCTACTCCGGAGGCTGAGGCAGGAGAATCACTTGAACCTGGGAGGTGTAGGTTGCAGTAAGCCGAGATCATGCCATTGCACTCAAGCCTGGGCGACTGAGTGAGACTCCATCTCAAAAAAAAAGAAAAGAAAAGAAAAGAAAAAGCAGTGGAAAGACAGTGGGGCTTGGGGCATTGAGGAAGGGGAGAAGACAAAGGCTATTTCACCTAAGAAGTGGGGGAGGGGCAAAGGCCTCTGGGGGCCCAAGATTGTCCTTAGCTCCCCTGCCACAGGCCCCCTGGACACCTCAGAACCATTCCAGGTGGCCTCTGTCTGATTGGGATGCGCACCCCTCTGCTCATTTAAGGCTCAGTCAGTTGCCTCCAAATATTTGCAGTTGTCCTGCCAGAAATCTCCTCTGGCTTCCTGCTAGAGTAGAAATGGAAGCAATCTGGAGTCTCCCTGCTAGAGTAGAAATGGAAGCAATCTGGAGTCACGTGAACTTGGATTCCAATACAGATTTTGCCCAATTTTATTTTTAGCTGTGTAACCTTGAGCAAGTTGCTTAAATTCCCCAAGACTTAGTTTTCTCACCCACAAAATTGGAATAATACAATCCCATGGAATCCTCTACTTCTCCAAGATCAGGATTAGTATTCCCATTTCACAGATGTGGAAGCTGAGGCTCAAAAGGGAGCTGATATTTGAACCCAGATCTCTCTGGCTCAGTGTCCATTACCACTGGTGGCCCCCAGTGAACAGATGGGGGAAGGATAGTGACTTTCCATTGTCTTGTGGGGAGTTGAGGGAAGCCAGGAGAACATCACAGACTCCTGAAGCCAGCCCTACCCCTTCCTGCCAGCTACTCAGCTGTGTCCTGTGGATCAGGACCCAGGCATCAGCCAGGGCTGGAAACCTGCCTGGGGGTGGGAGTAGGGGGAGAGCTATAAGAAGTAATGCCAAAAGCTTGCATTGAAAGTCAAGGGAGACTTGGGGTGAAGGTCTGCCCCTCCCTTCACCCAAGCCTCCCTATTTGTATAACAGGCAGTACTTGAGAATAATTTTGTTTTCATCCTTAGAACCAACTGACCTTCCCTGCTTCCCTTCTCTTCTACTTCCCTCTGTCCAGTCCTCCTCGAGGGCCACTGTGTATCAGGCCTGTGCTGGCCACCTGGGCTGCAGGCTTCTCTTCAGCGGGGACGAGGCCCCATGCCCCTGGCTGTGGACGTGGACGTGAATATATTTTTCTTCTCAATCAGCCCAGGCGATTCTGGTGATCTGATCGCCCAGAAATGCTGGGGGCTTCCTGTCAGCTGGCTTCTCAGCCCCTGCCTGACTGCCATTCGCCAGGGGCACACCCCTATCCCCCCGCCCCCATCCCTGCACCCGCCCTGCCCAGGGAGGCACCCAGGCTGAAAGGACATGGAGGTGAAGGAGGACACAGTTCCGTTCGCCATGCTGACCTCTAGTGACCCCTCTGCCACCTCAGCTTCCTTTCCTTGAGGCCAAAGCCTTGATGGAGATGGTGGAGGGCAGTCACCTGTTTCCAGGGGCCCCAGATGGGGGTGCAGGGGAACTGGTTACAGTCCTGAGCCTCATCACTAGTTTGCTGTGTAATGGCAGGTAGTTATTTTGCTGTATCTGAGCCCCAGTCGCCCATCTGTAAGTGAAGGATTGGACAATATAACCTCTAAGGGCCACCCACATATCTTGGGGCTCCTGACTTAAGGACGCTGTGTGACCGCAACCCCAGATACCCCAAAGCCTTCTCTATCTTCCCTAAGCCTGTACCCGTACTCAGACCCCAGTACTTTATCCTTCCCGCAACAACGAAGGCTGGTCCGGAGAAAGCTGAAACCAACCAGTAAAGAGAAGGGTCAAGATCACCCACGCTGGGCCATGACTTTGTGGTGTGTGAAGAGGGATGTGTCGGGGCCCCGCTCAGCTCACTGCTGTCACCTCACCAAGGGAATAAAAAGAGAGTGACAGCTAGGCATGGTGGCTCACGCCTGTAATCCCAGCACTTTGGGAGGCCGAGGTGGGTGGATCACTTGAGGTCAGCAGTTTAAGACCAGCCTGGCCAACATGGTGAAGCCCCATCTCTACAAAAAATTAGCCAAGTGTAGTGGCACACACCTGTAGTCCCAGCTACTTGCGAGACTGAGGCAAGAGAATCGCTTGAACCTGAGAAGCAGAGGTTACAGTGAGCCAAGATGGCACCACTGCACAGCCTGGGTGACAGAGAGAGACTCCATCTCAAAAAAAAAAAAAAGGAAGAAAAAAAGAGCAAAAGTGTTTTGCTCCACTTTTGCTGCATACAAGAGTCTCTGCGACATCATCCACAAGCACACGCCTCTCCCTCCCGTGTCTGCAGCTTGGCTGGGGTTTCATGGATCCCAGGCTCTAGGTTGGGTTTGGACCTGCTCCATAGATCACTCCTTTTAGCCTGGAACCAGCACTCCCTGGGCCATGTTCTTCTCACCACCAAGTCAACCTGTGCCATAGGACCAGCCATGAATGGGAATGAAGGAAACCCACAGGTAGTCCCCTTCTCCCGACCCCAGGCCACCTGGTGGACGCTGGCTTCCCAGAGCCATTTTTTGAGATCCCTCATCCTGGTCTTGGACACATCTCAGAGGAGGGCAGGGCAGGGCAGAGGCTGTCCTCACCATTTCCCATTTCTCATTGGTTACAATGAGACTAAAGGGCACTGTTTCCAGCACCAGGGTGCTTTTAGAAAGGCCTCTCTGAGAAGACACATGAACGGGGGGTCTGAGCAGAGTAGACCAGCCCAGCTGTTTCTGGCACACCCTGTGAGGCCAGATCTTCCAGGCAAGGGTGGGGTGAGGGGACCAAATCACAGCAGGCCTGTCATCAGAGCACCTGGGCCTGGCCGTCAGACTCACCTCCTCCACTTACCCACCGAGGGACTCTGGGGAAGTCACTCAGCCTCTGGGATCCTTAGTTTCATCATCTGCAAAACAGAGAAGCTACGAAACCACCCCTTCTCAGTGTTACTAAGAAAAAACATTAGAAGTCATACTGGTTGAACGAGCATCTACTGTGTGCCAGGCAGTTTCTGTGCCTGTGGACGAGACAGGCACTTCTCTGCAGATGGGCGCACTGCCAGGCCTGGCAGGTCATTCATGCGAGGTCTCTCTGTCAGGTGGTGGGCCTGGCTGCAAACCCCGGGTCTGTGGCTGCTGGAACCTCTACCCTCTGCCCAGGGTAGGGTATGTCCTCCTCCTCCTCCTCTGTTCTGTCAGGGGAGGTATTGTTGTTTTACAGGGCTCAGGGAGCAGGCCTGGGGGAGAGACGGGAGGCGTCTTTCCTGGGTGCACGTAACAAAATGCCACCTGTCATGTCTGCTGAGGGCGTCATGTCTGAAAGGCTGCTTTCAACTCTCAATTGTTGAATCATGGTGGTGGCTGCTCAGGAGACAATGTTTGAGTTTCTCAGGCCTCTTTCAGCTCCAGGAGAGAAGAAACCCAACCGCAACCAGCTTCAACATGAGAAACTGACTGGCTCCGGCAGGAGAAACTAGGGTGGCTAGTGGCCCTACTGCACTCAGGAGGGCTCAGGGCTGGCACTGGGCCCTGGGGACGCTATGCTGTCTCAAACTCACTTCTGCTTCTTCCTGCTCTCTTTGAACCCACCTGGGCCTCATTTCTCCCCATTGGGATGTGGCCACCAACAGCCTCAGTTAGAAATTCCAGTCAAATGAGACCTCTGTCTCCTTGGGCCTCTGAATCAGTCCCAGGGAAGGCAGCTGATTGACCTTGTTTGGGTCATGTGCTCTCCCTTTGATTGACATCTGTTATTGCCACAGGAAAGGGGCTCTGGGCATGGCTGGGAGCAGTGCCTGTCACCAGAAGAGGAAGCATAGGAAGCAGTGGGCCATTTGTGTCTGGACGGCAGTGTCTTCTACGGTTGGGCTTCGACTTCTCTGGTATGTGTAGAAGTCAGCGACTCTGCACCTGGGAGAAGAGAGGAGGCATTGTCTGAGTGTCACCCCAACACACACACACACACACACACACACACACACACACACACACACACAGGGTCAGAGACCTACCATGCTCAGTGCCCCCACTGTACACACGGAGAAACTGACGCTGAGAGAAGGGAACAATTTGTCGCACGTTACTTGGTGAGTGGTGCAGAGACAGAAATCAGGTCTCCTGACATCCAGGCGTAAGCCATGCAGTCACTTGTCACTGGTTCTGAACCCTGTCTGAGCAGGCCAGTGAGGCAGCTTTTTAGTGGCACCAATTTCTCCCAGCCCAGAACATAAAGACCCTTTGGAATGTGACTCTATGCAAAAGCAAAGGCTCTGTCCCCACCCCTCCATCTGTGCTGACCTCCCGGCTTGCTGGACGAGTAGATGTGGCCTGCGTTCTGCTGCCCAGGACTCGGGGCCTTACGGCGTCTGCCTTCACCCTGTTGGGGCCCAGTCCAGCTGCAAAGTCAGAAGCCCAGGCTGGGGCAGAGAGAGGCCTTGCTGTCTCGGCTGGCCCATCAGTCAAATGCAGCCATATGAGCGAGCCCAACAAAGTCAGCAGAGCTGCTGGGTCAGCCCACAGAAGCAGGAGAATCAGTCATGGCTTTAAGCTACTAAACCTTGACATGGCTTGTCATGTAGCAATAGAGACAAGAAGCAGCCAGGCTTAAAGTGTAAAAAAGCAATTATTTGTCTAATGTCATTCAGAATCTTAGAATCTTACAGTTGGGCCACCCCCTCTCATAACCCCGAGGTTCTAGCCACCAGAGCCCCTGTAATGCCTCCACTGATCTGGGGGCGGCAAGTGGCCAGTGATGGCTCTGTCATCCACTACTATGTCCCCAGTACTGCGCGAGGGCTGGACAAACAGTAATTGCTCCAAAGTTGCCAAATGAATGGAAGAATGTGACCCAGCCTCTGTTTGCATACCCGCAGGGGTGGGAGCTCACTCCCTCCAGGACGATGTCTTCCATTATGAATGGCTCTGTCTGAAAGAAGATTCTCCTCCATCTAGAGCAGAGACCTTTGATTCCCTCAGGGGTCCTGGCTATCTTCCTAGGGTCCCCTCTTCTATAGGACAGCCTTGGGCACATCACAACAGTCTCTAACATTACAAAGCAGCACAACCTCACTTAATAACAAGTATTTTTAGGTATATGGTGTCCCCAGCCACAGATATAACCCTAAGGGAAGTGCTTCCACCAGGCCCTGAAACAAGCATGGGCTCTGGATCACACAGTTCAGGGTTCAACTCCCACACAACTTCTGCTTGGCCTTGGAAAAGACACTTCATGTCTCTGAGCCTCAGTGTTCTCACCTGAAAAATAGGAGAAGTGAAATTGACTGCCTGGGTTGCTGTGGGGCTTAAAGGGAGATGATGTATGTAAAATGCTCAGCACGTAATCGGTCCTTGATAAAGGTTAGTTCCTTTTTGGCCAGGTACATAAACAGTTCCAGATGGAGGGCTCATCTGTACTTAGCGTTCATGTCTATATAAATAATGTGCAGGTGGGAGAGGAATTGTCAGGTGGCCGGGGAAGGGGGAGGGTGTTCCCAGCAGGGGAGCAGCGTAAGCAGAGATAAGGAGAAGTTTGCTTTCAGAGAAGGGTAAGTGGGTGGTTCAGTGCTGCTGGCACGAAGAGCATCAGGAGGGAGAATAACGGGAGAGGAAGCCAGGCCCACGCCACGGGGGGCCTTCAGTGCTGGGCTAGGGAGCTTGGGCTTTGCCAAGGGAGACATGGAGGCAGTCTGAAGAGGGTAGGGTAAAGTCAGGTGTGGGATTCAAGTCTGGGGTTGGATGGGGAGGTGAGGGGAGACCGAGCTCCTGGGAGCCTATCAGGGGAAAGTTGGGGTAGCAGCAGGAATGACTTGGGCCAGTGGATGGGAGGGACAGCCTGGCCACTGGGGCAGCAGCTGAGCCATCTGCATGGGGACATCTGTTGTGAGAAGCAGGGCTCTTTGTCCTCTGGTCTAGCACCTCTGCCCTGCATCTTCAGTGCCAAGCCCTGTTGGGAAGAGCACTTTTTCTGTCCTTTTCAATCTAGGAACAGACTATGAAAGGGGACAGGGGAGAAGACCTAGGCTAGATCTGTAGCCAGAAGGATGCAGGGTAGACCAAAGGGGAACTAACTTATCTATCTGTCAGAGAAGTCCCTCTCAAGGTCCACTTGCTCATTTTATTAACCATCCCAGACCTCAAACCAAGCTTTCCAGTTTCCTAAGCCCTGCCACAGTTATGGGCAGGCTCCTTTGAGCCTTGCCACTGGCTTGAGGGAGAGGCTGGGCAGAGGGGATTAGCTCTGTTGTTAAGATGGGGAGACCTAGGCCCAGAGAGGGCAAGTGACTTACCCAAGATCACACAGCAAGTGCATAGCAGAGCTAGCCTGGAACCCAGTTCTCCTGCCTCCCACTCACATCCTAATCCCTTTCCACAGCACTGGGGGACAGGCAGGACGTTCTCACTTACCTGCTCTGGGTGAAGAGTGAGGAGAACCAGAGAGAGGTTGACAGCCATCAGCAGACAACACTTAACCCAAACTGACAATTTAATTGTGAAAATGTGGACGAGGTATAGTTATGTGCAAGGAAATCCAGACAGTCTGGGACCCTGGGGAGCCCCGGCCAGCACCCCAGTTGCCGGGGAAACGGGAGAGGGTTGTGGATGATGTCACTAGGATTCCAAGGCTGAGGTCTGGGGGTGGGCTCTCCATCTTTGGGGCTGTGGGCTCTCATCCTCATGTTTAACCCCTTCTCTTACAGATGGGAAAATGAGAGCTCCAGGGAGAGGTAGTGACTTGCCAAAGGTCACACAGGGACTCAGTGCCTGAGCGATCCTTGTTCAGGGGCCATGTTGATTCATCTAGCCAGGCTGCAGCCCCCTGAGGGCAGGCTGGGGCAGAGTCACCTATGAGTCCTCAAGCCCAGCACAGGGCCTTGAAAGGGCAGATGTTCAACACTGAGGTAAGGGCTGCTTGATCCCTTTAAAAAACAGGGAGTGTGGGAGGTGACATGCTGACTTCCTAGCAGCCTTAGATGAGCGCAGTCTTGCAGAGCAGCTGTCACTGGTTCAGGGATCATTGCATACCCCCATGGATGGGGGGAGCTCAGAGAGGGCAGGTCACCAGGCCCGGGTCACCCAGCAGGTTGGGCAGTGCCTGGCTGACCCTGAGTTCAGGACTCCTAGGGGCCAAGTCCCCTCTCATGCACCACAGATATCACATCTTCTTCTTCTTTTTTTTTGAGACAGAGTCTTACTTTGTTGCCTGGTTTGGAGTGCAATGGTGTGATCTCGGCTTACTACAACCTCTGCCTCCTGGGTTCAAGCAATTCTCCTGCCTCAGTCTCCTGAGTAGCTGGGATTACAGGTGTGTGCCACCATGCCTGGCTAATTTTTTTTTTCTTGTATTTTTAGTAGACACGGGGTTTCTCCGTGTTGGTCAGGCTTGTCTTGAACCCCTGACCTTGTGATTTGCCCATCTCAGCCTCCCAAAGTGCTGGGATTATAGGCATAGGCCACGGAGCCCAGCCTGACATCCTCTATAATCCTCACCAGGGAGGAGACATCTCTGTCACTGCCATCCACCTTAATGCTGGTACAGGGGTCTGGGTCTTGAGAAGCTCCCATTGTCTGAAGCATTTTCTCAGAATTCCTAGCTTCTGACTTGACCCCCCCAAAGCATCAATAACAATGATAATTACCACCCTTAGCACAACCCCCGTTGTGCGCTAGGCTCTGGGCTATCGCTCTACTGCCCTCATCTTAAATATTTACAACTCTGTAGGCTGGGATTTTTGCTTTCACTTTGCAGTCCGAAAATGAGGTTCTGGGAGGTCCCTTGCCCACCTGCACACAGCCTGAAAGTGAAAAGGCTGGGTCTTGAACCGCAGGCCACTCTGCATCCAAACACTATGAATGCCTTTTCCCCTGGCTAGCAGCTCATTCCCACAATGGCCTGAGTGCTTATGGGAGGGGGCAGCTCCTCCCTTCCATCCCTCACTTTATAAGGTTCTGATGGAGCTCTCAGTCACAGAGTCCAGTTCCCTCATAGAAGGCCTGGCTTTGTGGAGAATTTCATCTTCCTAGCCACCTAATTGGCCCAGGAAGAGTATAGGGCCCAACTGGACCAAATAGAGCCATTTCCCTGGGATGCATAAATGGATTCTGGGAGAAAGCAGTCAGCCCCACCTTGGAATGGAAGCTCCAAAGGTGTGATCCCAGAGCTTCCTACCCTGTATTCCCTGCCATGTGAGGAAGAAAAGGAGGATGAGGAAAGAATAGAAGAAAGAGGTAGTGGGGTGGAGATGGGGTGCGTCTGAGTCCCTGAGCACGCCCTATCCTTCTCAGATAGGAGGCCAGTGAATCCATGTTTCTTTAGGCTCATCGGAATAGGCTTTCTATCTACTCTCTTGCAATTGGAGCAATCCTGTTTCCACCGCAATGTGCTGAGTCCTGTGCTGTTGTTACAGGGGCTGCAAAATTAATAAAGGTTCCTGTCCTTCAAGACTTAACAATCTAGGCAGGGAACAGCGGGTTGGCAGTAGCTGTGGGTTCTAGTCCTTGCTCTGCCTCAAACACGCGGTGTGATCTTTCCCCTCTCTGAGCTATGGTTTCCCCATCTTTATCATGGAGGTATGTGGGAGCAGGGAGCAGGAGACACTGGGCTCAATGTTCTGCAAGACTCTCTCTAGATCAAGTACATTTCTTAAAATTATAGGCTCATGCCTATAATCCCAACACTTTGGGAGGCCAAGGTGGTAGATCACCAGAGGTCAGGCATTCAAAACCAGCCTGGACAATATGGTGAAACTCTGTCTCTTCTACAAATACAAAAATTAGCTGGGCATGGTGGCAGGAGCCTATAATCCCAGCTACTTGGGAGGCTGAAGCAAGAGAATCACTGGAGCCCAGGAGGCAGAGGTTGCAGTGAGCCAAGATGGCAGCATTGCACTCCAGCCTGGGAGACAAAAGCAAGA